CAGAGTTTTGCAACAACACTCTAAATTTGGAATCTTCTTCCAGAAATATATCTCGAAATTGAAAGATTAAAAGTAAATTTAGATCCAACTCATCAGCAAGAAGACTTGAATTTTACCAAGTACATTAATGCATGAACTACATTAAAGCAAAAAGCTAAGATATTAGGACGTAATCTCAATGAAGAAATTAAAAAATCCAAGATACTAAGATATTGATTTGAGTGGAGAAATTAAAAAATGGTATGGAATTTTGAAAAGAATTAATCTCCCTTTTTCGGAGCTTCATAACAGAACTTGCCAAGGGAAAAGTGTTTTGAAGCTCCATACTTGGTCGATTAATAAGAGAGCCAAGACAAATTTCGTTCTGACATATTCACTGAAACTCGTAAACGCAGTACTTAATCTATTAGTCAAATAATTAGTGGAATTAAAAGTCTCATTGAATAGTCTCTTTTCCCTATTTGTCTTAGCTTTCTAACACAAAATTGAAAGTAGAAATATTTTACATGTATACAAAAACACAGATAAAACGTTTGCTTCAAAATATACAAATAGAAAATACCTGTGGCCTCATGCAAAAATTTTACTATGCAAAAAGCATATACGAGTAAGAAAAAATTCAATAATAGCCTCTGTTAAAGAATTAAAAGAGATAGTCCTGTAAAACAACTTAAAAAAGGAGTGGAAAATGGAAGAACAACTGTTAAGAAAATTATAAATTTAATTAATCGGAGCCAATGTAAGAATACTAGTATGTAATTTAAAAAGGGAGCAAGAATAAAAAAAAGACCATAAAGACCAATAAAGACCTAGAGATTCTCAGTGCAAAATGTACTTAGGCAACTGAGGAAGTTGGTTCTGTAGTTAAACCATCGAAACTAGTCCTGCAAAAAACTTTGCAACTATTACACTGATTCTTGTTGTTTGGCTTCTCCAATACTCACCCGTGATTATTGATAAAGATTTTATTTCATTTCCTCATTTTATTAGTTATAAAATTGCTCCGATTCTTTGCAAGTTTTAGGCACTTTTACCTATAAAATTCGGTTTTCAGCTCTTAAAGACCCATTTCTGCTTTTAATTCTTGGGAAATTTATTGAATTTTTTAATCAGTGTGATAATAGATATAATGATCAAACTTAAGAAAGAAAAAAAAAAAAGAGCGTTAAAATTTCAAAGCCGAGAATACAAAAGAATATCCATAAAAACTCTTCAGCTAATATATTAGATTTTTTAAAGCTTTTTACATTAATAAACATTTACAATATTTTTCAATGAATTCCAATCTGATTCTCCCTAAAACTTTAAAAATTCCAATATTTAAGCTTTCTTACGTTTTATTATGGTTTTCCTCCAAAAAGAGGGGCCTACGTTTGCTTTTCTCTTTCCGCCACCGAATTTCCTGTAAGTAGAGTTGCTTGCTTCTACCACCTTTGTAAAAATATTTTGCTCCTGAAGTGAGTTCTGTATCACATCTTCCTCAAAATGGATGGAGTTTTATTCAAAATCTATGCCAATCGCAGTTTGCTTTTTAGAGGGGGGGGGGGTAAACATTAAATATTACGTATTTATCTTCCAATTAATATATATCAGTTTATTTTCTGGTGTACCATAACCTAGTGCCATTTTATTGAGTAGCTCTGTGTACTAAATTAAAAAAGATAGCTTTCAGTTGACAAAGTGGGGGCGAGGTAATATTACTTTGATGTAGAAAAGTACTTCCTCGAGCTCTAATGGTCAATTACTTGAAAAATCTCTTAAATACTTTCTCAATTATTAGTAAAATCGCAGGTAGATATGTTTGATTCTGATGACTTATCTGTACAACCGGATTTGATAGCACCAATCATTTTCTGTTCATTAAAGGTTCGATAAAATAGCAAAATTAATGTAACAAATTTAGTTTTCTTAACGCAGAAACTAAAGACACTACTTAAAAAATTATATCTAAAAATTTCACAGATAAAAAAAATTCACATGTGTTCTCATCTTTTACTTGTTTTTAACAAGTGTTTCCGATTCCTCCTGATGAGTAACTCGGTTTAAATTATATTCATATAAGTGAAATTTTTAATTTAATGTCATTTTTGTTAATGTAAATTATCATACAACATATTTGGGTCTGCACGAAAGAAAACACCAAGCTAATTAATTCCTTTGTATTCATTGTGTCTTTTCTCCGTTGATAATTATATGACACGACCTTTTTCGCAATCAGACCGGATGCTAAGTTAATTAAAATGCAGTGGTATTACGTGTACTTCTTTCGTTCTACATTTGAATTTTTCTCTGTATCATCCTCCTACATGCTTCCTTCTTTTTCTTCTTGCTTTCTTCTTTTTCTTTCTTCTTTAAGAGGAAACATTTATAAAAAATCATTATAAATGTTTCTCTAAAATCTTCTAGGCTCCTGATCGTGCTTTACACAAGTAGAGTGATTTAGTACTATACATATTAACTTAGCTTTAAAAGCTTGCAATAACATATTTTTTATCCATATTGCATTTTATACTAAGGCAAGAATTCTAAAATTAAACAGGACAAATTTTTAAATTAAAATAAAGTTTTAATGAGAAGCCGAAGAAAAAAAATCATAGCTAATTCAGTTCAAAAATATATATCATTAACAAATATGCATTTCAATCACGGCCCAGTTTTAATTCATGAATCTATCTCATTACAATAGTAGTACTAAAATTTATTTCAACAAGAATAAGATATACATTATTATAGTATGACTAAATCAGTTAGAAATTTTCGTTATGTTCAATAATTCTTACTTGTACTGTAAAGTCACTAGGGTTTTTTGAAGCAGGAAACGTGAAAAACTTGCAGAGCTCTTGTCTGGAATCGAACTCTGGACCTCTCGAATACACGCTGAGTATGCTTCTAATTACCCCACGAAGTCATGCGAAAAGGAGGAAGAAATTATCTTATATACTCGTCCTGGGCGACTGGGGATTAGGAAACCCAGTTGCCAAATTCTGGTGGTAATGAATTATTGTACATCACCCTTTTTTTTTTTTTGTTCGGGTGACTCTTGAAGAGTCTTTAGGCTTTTTTGAAGCAGGAGACGTGAAATATGTGCGGGACTCGAACCCTGGACTTCTCGAATACGTGTCGAGTATGCTTCTCATTACACTACGAAAGCACGCGGAAAAGAGGAAGAAAAGACCTTATAGTACCTAATGTTATAATTCAGGTTTTATAGGACCAAATATAAAATATATACATGTATGTATATCATTTTAGAATTTCAGTGAGTTACTTTGTACATTCCTAACTAGTGCATTTGCCTTTTATTCCTTTGATCAAAAATAAATTAGCTGAAATGTCACTTACTTCTTTAACTAATAATTAAAAAGTAATCATCGTAAAATAAAAGTATTGTTGCATAGTAACACTGTAACGTAACTGAATAAGAAATGTAAAATAAACTAATTGAAGTTTTAACTCGGATTATTCTTTTTACTTTCTCCATTCCTATCATTACAGCTGATAGATTTTAGTAACGCATGTGCGAACATTTATTTACTGTGACAAGATAAAAAAAATAAAATAATTATTAAACTAATCCTAAAGAATTTTTTACTCTTGTAAAATATGTACTCAATATCGCGTAAAAGTTCAAGGTCATCCTTGCCATAAATCCTTCAGAAGTTATTAGTTTCGTGAAATCAAAATTACAAGATAAAAAATCTTTTTTTTTTTCCAACACTCATCCAGTTTTTTCCTCTCTGATAAAGTAAGATATTTAGTGCTTTTAATGAAAGATATTTATTTTTCTCGCTATATCAAATTTATGGGTACAGATAGATAATAAGTAAATAAAACTAAAGTTAGGCATTTAATCCTCCTGGCAACCAAAATTGGTTCGACATAATGAATGAGTATTTTAAAATACATATATTCCAAAGTTAATTGTCCTTCATATATACAAATTTAAGTGCAAATTAACCAAAATGAACTTAATGTCAATTAGAAAAATATTTTTTCTCATTGAAAAAGAAGAGCTAGTAGCCGATCTTTAACAAAACGTATGAAATTTTCCAATAAACTAAAGCCGATCTAAAGTTTGGTTTAGTATAATTTTGTGCAGATCCGTTTTTGTGCTACAATTTTTTTTCATACTGAATTATGAGTTACATATTTTTCTAATCGAGAGATAATCACACGCATTCATTGTAAGAAAACAATTTTATAAGTGTTCAAATTTTCCCAAACGAGGAAATAGTTTTGGCAATCACTTATGTCTAGGTCTAGGGTATATATTTTATCACTGAATTATGTACACATATTTTTTTCCAAATGGTCGTTCTCAAGCTCACTGAATTATGCTAATGTTTAAATTTTCCTTTTTACTTATTAGTCCAAAGGGACTATTGTTTTCGTTTTGCGATATGCGTTGAATCACTATAAATGTCCGTTTTACTTTACAAACTGTTGCCACCAAATACTATCGTCATGTATTATATTTGAAGAAATTCAATAATGAAGAATAAATGTATGTATGTTTCTCGCATTGTGATAAAACAACGGTACATTGAGCCATCGAATTTTGAATGACGTAATCCTCCTACGAATATGGCATGTGGAAGACCAAATTTGAAATTTAGAATTTGTTTATTATCGATTTCATATTTTGTAAAATTTGAACGAATTTTTGATTAACAAACTCAAGGATTTCAAAGCGAGCAATGGCAACACTCTACGGGGAGGGAAACCTTTTTATCTCCAGCGCGCGGAACTGTGTATCGGAAATTCTAAAGATATGCTCATTTTAAAATTATTTTGCGACATTGCTATTGAACTGTAATGATTTAAGTGCAAAGAACATGATATTTAATAAATAAAGGTAACACACAAAAAAGTTAAAAAAACGCCCCTTTGGACGTAATTTAAAATCTGAAATCTTTCAGACACTTTTTGTTATTAAATTTATTGTATACTATTCTTAAGTTATCTGATTATTTGTAATAATTATTTATTTGCTTATTAAGGAGGTGATTGAAAGACAGATTGAAAGCACTGCTAAACAGAGAGATTTATTGAAAGAAGAGCTTTCAGCACTGACAATAGATGGTGAATTGCTACAGAAATTATATGCTCAAAGAGACGAATTGCTAGGTATGGAACAATTTTCTCGATTTCTCTTTTTCTGAATTTAAATCTGCATATTCACATTATTTGTAACAACATTTTTATATGTATTATAATTCATTTCTGATTTTATATTTACCTGCATATTAATATATAGCACTCTACATTTATACACATCTACAGTTATGTTTTGAGCACACCCGTCTCGATATTTGTTCATCTAGAACCCAGTTGTCTTCATATGTATGTATAAAGTATCTCTAATAACTGTAATAGCAATTACGTCTGTCGTTTAAGAGAAGGTATTCGTTGAGTTTCATGAAACACGTTTATTATCAAAAGTATTTGCTGTGTTTGACTGTTATATTTACATTTACGACGGCCTTTTAACAGAAGGTATTCGCTGTGCTTGATAAAAATGTGCAGTGCGCTTAAAAGTTGATATATGCTATTTTCTGTAGCGAGGTGTGTGGAGGGTTTGAAAAAGACGGCTGTAGGTTTAGTATCCGAAATTTTGTCTCTAAACTTACACTTTCGGTTACAAAATTTTAACTTCAGCAATAGAGAAGAAAGCATTTGTAACCACAAAGCTTATTATTATTACTTTTGGTCTGCTCCATCTAAAGAAATTGTCCATTTAGCAAAATGTCCATTATGCTTTGATAAGTTAAATGTGATTTCTCCATATATCTAAGTGCAAAGTTTTGGGTGGTGTTAGCAATTAATAGTTTCATACGGGCCAAGTGCAAAATTAATAACTTCTGCTGCTGGCTTACTCAAGACAAAACCATTAATCTCTGTTTTATTCTGTATTTTTGTTTTTAATTTTAAAAGCCGGTTAAAGTCATTTAAAAGCAACCATTAAATTTCTAACGTATCAGTGTTTTTTCACATGAAAAAAAGGAACTTTTTTATTTAACTTGCTAAAGCATTATGAACATTTTTCAAATTGGAATTGCTATCTAGGGAAACGTGTAAAATGTTAGATTTTGTTGAGAAACATTGTACATCCTACACTGAAATAGTTTTCTACCTTATTTCCGGAAAGTTTATAATTAGAGCCGTATGGATTGCACCAATAGTTAAAGAAATTAAACCTTGGCCATCTTTATTCGAAAGTCCTTTTTATGTAAAACTATGAATAAATAGAAAAACACAAAGTTAAATGTTTCTTAAACTTCTTGAAACAAGACATTAAGAAAACAATGAAATTCTATGAAAACGAACAAGCTGAAATTTTGTGCAGTTATGCACACAATCGTCCTCAAGTTATGAAGGACAAGAAAAAAAAAGCAACTCGTTTCCATTTGCTACTGCATAAATTCCATTTATTGCGTAAACCAGGAAATGGCATAGATTTTATGGTTTCCATAGATTAGGATCGTATTCTGGGTAAAAACAAAAACATATTTCACGGCAAATGTACTGTATATTTCGACAACATAAGAGAAACATTTTTATTTACCTATTTACAAAATACCGTTTCAAAATATAATACGTAATATAAAGGAAGCGCAGTTTGCAGCTCAAATCTCTGTAAAAATCATATATCTTTATAGCAATCATGGCTTTTCGGCATGGCTGATGGTTTCAATTGTATTCAAGAAAAATTTCAGTTCTATATACTGTTAATACAAATATTATTTGTAATAAATGCAAACAAACATTCTCTAACCAGAAATAAAACAAAAGTAAACAGTAAAGGAACGGCAGATATGTTTTTAAACTGAAGGGATTTAAAAAATATTAAAAATGCGAGAAGTCAAAAATTAGAACTACCGAAAGTCTCAACAAATATCCTGTGAAACATATGGAGCTCTCTCTAGACATGCACATAAAAGTGTTTAGCAAAGTGAAGACAGAAATTATCCCTTTCATTAATGATAGAAATCTTTTGCATAAAAATTGTTAAAATGTGATCAAAACCTTATGTTAATTAATCCAGGTATCTTATGAGTTGGCATGTACTTTCACTTTCACTTTTGTCAACTTCCACCAGAATGCAAATTTACTGAAGTATAAACAAGGGCAGAGTTCTTGAATTAAAAAAGGCAGAGCTTCTAGCCTTTGCTAAACGTTACTCTAGTACGATTCACTGCTACTTAATATGATTTAGTGGCTTTAGCTTCGGCACGCTGAGTTTGCGTCGAGGATACTTAGGGCGGGAGCCAAGGCTAACTTAGTCTGGTGTTAATTTATATGTCGCATTTTAATTTGACTTAATAATTAACATAATTGTTTTACATTTCATGCGGGCTTCAGAGACTATTCCTTTTATAATCCTGAGCTTTTGTCTAACTGTCAGGTTGCCGTATTAATAAATAGGTTTATTTTAATCCTTCACGCTGAGTTTGCGATTGCTGTAGTCTGAAAATTCAACAGAATAACAAATCGCCTGTCTGTTTTTACAGTTTCACAAGTTTGGAATTTTAAAGAAACATAGAACTATATGTTTTAAAACATCTATTCTCAATTTCTGCCTCTTACCTATCTTTCCTATATATGAAGAACTCTGATATGATGATTTAAGTTTGTTGATCAAGTAATAAGACTCTTTTGTGGCAGATTCTGTGTATCTGCATAAATTTTCAGCATTTATTTCGCTCCTTTGAAGAATGGCAGTATGTTAGGTGGAAGATCTTGGTTATCTTCGTCATTCAAGGCAAGATTTGTTATTTCTAATTATTATATCAACTTATTATTATACCAATGACTACCACTTCGCCATAAACTAACACAAATTCCATTAGGCTTACATTAGTCTTTATTTTACTTCCATTAGGCTTACTTTAGTCTTTATTTTACTTCCATTAGGTTTACTGTAGTTAAACGTTTAGTTCACAGCATTCTGAAACTGCTATATGAAGAAACGTACAGCTAATTAGTTTGAAAAATAATATAAAGAATACAAATAATGTTAAAGTATTTGCTAAGTTGCATGAGTTGAATCGACTCAAACAGTTAATTAAATATTCTTTCGTGGATCTTGGTGGTGGAAGTTTCAAAATGGAAATTTCTCTTTAAAAATTTCAAGCACTGCAATGAAACAAATATAGAGTTTTGAAATAAAACAAAGAAGTGTTATTGTATTTTCAAAGAAGTTAACTTCGTAACATCATACTGAGACACGTTTGAATTTTCTAGTAATGAGGCATTTTGTAGTTATGAGTTTCCTAACTCATGCTGGGTGGTGACAAATTTGACCGTAACTGGTATGTTCAGATCCAACAGAGAAGCAAAATATAGCAGAACTCTCAATTTTGTTCTTGAATAAAATTAACATGTACAAAATTTTATATGCATTGAGAATTCTCTCATGACAACTGTTTTCCTTAGACGATTATCTCTGAAAGTGAACACTTCTGCGAATTTACATGCTAAGGTTTTGATAATTGTGATATTGTTCCCTTGGCGACGGTTTCTTAAAACGACCGAAATCATGAAATGTTATATTAAGGCCAACACCAAAATATCCGATTCCGCTGTCAAATTTTAAATTATTTTATATGCTGCTATAAAATAAATCAAGGACTTCCATATTCAGTTCTTATTAATATACCAAAAAACTATTTTAATAGAAAATAGCTAATTATTATGAATGCTTATTGTTTTCTGTTCTCTGATTAGCTAAGTTTATTCTAGAGATCTGATGAGAGGATTATGATTTACCACTCTTTTTATGATTCATAACATTCTTACACTGTTAATATCCATTTTATTTTTTGTTACAACTTGATGGTGCTTGATACATAATTTAAGGTTGTAGAGACATTAGGATTTTTTTAAAGCAAGAGAGATGAAAAATATGCCACCGCTCTCGCCGAGAATCGAACGGAGACACGCTAGGAAAGCAGGAGAAATACCTTATAAGGTCTAATTAGAACTCTTAAACAAACACGCGTATGTTTAAAATAACATAAATTTATTATATTTATTATATTTGTATAAAATAGAAATACAAAGAAGTGTTAAATTATTAATTCGCAGTAAAATATCACTCAGTGTTCAGCTGTTATTTTTGCTGAAGTAAAATTACTTAGTTTGCTGCCTTTCTAAAACAATTTCCCTAAGTTTCCATGATATTTTTAATACTGATTCTGAAAGGACACTTTTTTCTGAATTTTTTCTTTTTCTCTGCTTCCTCTGTATATCTTGAACAATCTGCTAGTAGCAGATGCACCAATAAACAATCGATTTAAAAGCCCTTTATTATATCTCTAGACAACATCTTCGGCGGTGCATATGGGAGTGAGAGAGAAAACAGACTTGAAAAAGAATATGACTTGCTCTTAGAAAGAAAGAATCACATAGATCAAGCTCATTTTAAATGGAAGCAAGCTCAAATAATGGTGAAGCAATCTTGCGCGCAACTTGGACTTGCCGTACAGAAATGGAAAGAATTACCAGACATACCAGAACAGTAAGTCAAATAAAAATCCACTTATGGAAAACTTGATTTTGATTTAGCTCTTAAAGTAGTACTGGAAAATTTGAGATTTTTATTCCATCTTTATCCATTGCATTTAATGAGAAAACAAGATAATGGTGAAGCAATGTAAAATAATTATCATTTTTTTGCCCACGTTTTAATGAAAAGTAAAAAGATACTTCAGTGAAAAGCTTTGCATTTTAATTGCTGTTTTCTATGAAACAAGAAATATGCTACTCGGAAGTAATTTAAATCAAATTATGTGCATGTGGTAACTTATTAGTGTTACAGAAATTAAATATAACAGAGGAATACAGCTATAGTAAAGATATATTTATTCTTTAAATATTAGTAGAGTAGATTGTAGTATTTTCTTGATTATGGTTAAGCTTACTAGGGTTATCAGCCTAAAAAGAAGGGATAACTTTATGATGGAAATTCTAAAAGAAATTGGCTTGTGTTCAAGTTGCACATGAGGTAAACCACAGAAATTCAGAGGCTATTGGCCCATTGTCAGAGACATGAAACCTATCAAACTACCACTGTTCAACGGTCTTATCCATTTAGCCGTTGTTGGGCCGAATTTCTGAAAGAATACGGTGAGAGAGAGAGAGGAGAATATATTCAGAAGAAAAATAAGAAAATATTCTTATATTCACAATGTAAGCATTCCAGATTTTTACTCACATGTATTTTTTTAAACAGGAAAAGTAATGTTACGCCATTGTCAAATAATTTATATCATAAAATTAAGCTATCGAAAATCACATTTATCTAATGATATTTTCTTACACTTACTTTTTATCTGAGGAAAACTAACATACTAAAACTATGTAGAGACATTAGATATTTTTTGGAAGCAGGAAAGATGAAAAATTAGCAACGCCTTTGCCGGGAATCGAACCGCGGACCTTTCAATTACTCGCTGAGCGTGCAGACCAGTACACCACGAAGGCTTGTTAAGAAGGCGGGAGAAATACCTCATATACTCCCCCCTTTTAAAGAGCGACTGGATTTTTAGGGAACCCAAAGCCAAATCCTGGGTGTGGAGACTCATCATCCAACACTCTTTTAGTTCATGCGCCACTGTAGAGATATTAGGTATTTTTTGGAAGCAGGAAAGATGAAAAATTAGTAAGACCTTCCCCGGGAATCAAACCGCGGAGATCTCAATTACGCAATGAGCGTGAGGACCACTACACCACGAAGGCTCGTTAAGAAGGTCGGAGAAATACCTTATAAGTACACTTAGAAATATTCATAATAATAATTAATAGAATTATCCCAGAATAATTCTATTTGTGAAAACAATGTAACCATGCATTATTTAGTTTTAAAAGCATATTTTGCAATGCAAATCATATACATCAGTTCCTATTAGTAAAACCTTTTTAAACCAATCCACAGATGCAATTTCAAAGCAAGTTTAAAGTAAACTTAATCTCCTCTTTAAATGATTTCGTGAAAAATACGAGAAGACTTCCATTAATGGTATAGCATAAAGAGATAAGAGTCCAGTTCATTTTATTTTTATGTAAGATATTTTTATTTAGCAACCTAATTAGTCTTTAAGTTTGCTATTTTTGTCACTTCTTGTTTTTATCTGAGCCTGCTCATTCCAAAACTCGTAAGTTGAAGGCTATATAAAAGGAAACACTAAGAAAACAAAGACATGAATGAATAATTGATTGATTACATTAGAAGCACTGCGATCTTGGTATTTTAGCTCAAGTTTTGTCAAGTGACGGCTGTGGGTCGTATTTGGCCAGCCGCGCACTTTTGTGCGATCCGCGAGCAATAATCATGTTTGTTAAAATATTTTACATTTTATACCTTTTCACGTCTCTTTAAGTAACATTAATTTGATTTTAAAATCATTTTTAGTTTGTTAACTTGTGAAATACTTTACAATTTCGACTTTAAAAAAAATCAAAACAGAATTTTGTAGTTCTTCTTTCGTTAGCGAGTACTCTGCCTTAAGAAGGCCTTTGCTTGCACGTCATCAAGTGGCCTTTGAAACGTTCAGGATTAAAATAATAAAAATTCTGCATACTAACAGATTACAACTTAAAAAAGCTAAAAAATTTAATGTTCACCATCTTTTGCCAAGCATATGGCTCAACGCAGAATAATTTGTAGAACCCAGTTTGAAAATTATTTAGCAAGAGATATATGGAAATATATTGTGACCCTTGATGAAGCATATGGATTTACCTAAATAACTGTAACAAAAGAGGTCGATTTATTATCGAAACCGAAGAGAAAAAATATCGAGTGGAGGAAAAAATGTACAAAGCTGGTTCTGTCAATGCAAAATAAGTTTCAATAAAGGGTTTATGATTGTCACGGTATACTCTTACAATAAAAAAATTAAAAATAAGAAGCATGTAAAAAACGTTACAATCCACTCAACGTACTATCAAGACAAATTTACTTCCGACATTAACAGAAGAATTTGCATTTCTTTATCCCAGTCTGTAAATTTAACTAAAACCTCTTCTGTCATGATGATCACGATGCAGACTCATGGTCCAGAAAAAAGACTATCAAATCGAACATTTAAAAAATACTCTTACATTTTAAATACTAATTAAACGGCAGCGAAATCGTTCCAAAAGTGTATAAAAACCATGTAGTTGTCAGAGTAAGCTTTAGAGGTTCTGATTCGTGATTACGTGGATTAAATGCTCGTTAAAATTATAATTGTCAAAGCTCTTACACGTGGATCATAGATCAGAAAAAGGAATATGGTTCGCTCGGTTAAAAATATCTGCCGGGACTCATATTGACCTGTACTAGTGACTGAAACATCTATCTCCTTTGAACTAATAGGTAGCTGTTATCATGGATACACTGCAGAATAAGCATTTTTAAATATATAGTATAGCAATAATTCTCCGAACCCATTAGTCTAGAAATAATTATCTTAGTCATCATATACATTCTTTATTTTCTTTCTTGATTGAAATGCTGCCTGTCGAACATAAGACGAAACGAACTATTTTCGCGTATATCATTATTATCTTAATTACTTTCTATCATTTTACTTGAAATGCTGCCTTTACCAGTAGCAAACATCCCACGGCTGACGTGCCAAATTATAAATTTGTATCAAAGCTATAATTTGGCATTAAAAACGTCAGCCATGGGATGTTTGCTACTGGTTCCAATTAAAATCAAATTATTCTCGATTTTTGATAGTATAAAGTTACCTTGGTATATCTTTAAATTAATACAAACAGCGTAAACTGATCTTAAAGAGGTCCTTAAAGATAATAAACTGGTATAGATATAGTGTATTATTGTCTCTGTAACTCTAGCTGAGAGGATACAGAATAATAGCGTCGACGTAGGCAAAGTATTTCAAAATGCTACAAAAGAGTGGTTAAAAATTCATTTATGCTAACAACTTTAGTCATAAAAATACATTTAAAAGTTTTCAGAAAGCATTTTTTGGTACAATTTAAGTTGCACGCTTAATATCTTTAATATTATAATCCTTGATTATATGCATTTTTTAAAAATTCTGTAAACAGTTATTTCCTTAAGATGTTTTATTCTGATTCGGATGAAGATTTTATACTAAATTGATATAAATCACGTTGCCTCGTGTCACAGGGTCGTTTTTCGCTTCAGTCTAGAGCTGACTTCGAGGTAATTCCTTATGCTCTACCTTCCGTACTCTGTGTGAATGTACATAATTTCCTGTTTTAGTATGTATGTATGCATATGTAAGATAAAATATATGTAAATCAAATTTCTGGTTTTAATTTGTAATAGTCCCTTAACCCTTGTTCCGTCATTGGTAATTATTGGGATGTCTGTGGACTTACTGACTTGAATCATCGGTAGAACTTAAAGTAATCTCAGATTCGTAATTCTTGATATTATTTTTTTTTCTGCATGCAAACGTCATTAAATGCAAGTACCATTAGCTGGGAAGTAAACTTTACATTTGTTGAAGATGCGAGAGAAACGAATATTGTCAAACTGCGGATGCAGAAAATTGACTTTAATATAAATTTTGCATTAAGCTAGAGAGTTAAAAAGTCTGTGTTTACAATAATCAAGAGCTAGGTCTTTAATAATTTGTATTTCGTTGTATTTTTCAAGAATAAATTTTTCCAATATTAAAAGAAACTTATTAGTACAATAATGTAACTAGATAAGTAGTTTCTTGGGAAAGTTTGCAGAATTATAATAATTTTTAATTGCTTCATCAATTTAATTGTATCCAAAGTTGGTAAAAATCTTGTATTATTTATTCTACTTCCTCTTTTGCATTTTTGTGTTTTGGTGCTGTAAAATTTAAATTGCTGCATATTGATTTATTGGAATGATATTTACGACTTTGATTATAACAGTCTAGTTGAATGGATTGTCCTTGAAAACTAGAATCCTTGAGAAGTGTGTAGCGACTAAGCGCTTACTACTTACAACTGCAAAATAAAGTCCAAAGAAGAGTTAAAATACCCTTTTATTTTAACTCAAAAATGCTCACAATTGGCCCCTCTCGGACTTACAGGAAACCTTCTTAGGATCTGAACATAAAGTAGGAAATAGGACAGTAAACTAATTTTAACTAACTAAATCTTACCTGAAGCTACACATAAATAACTAACCGAGTTGGCCCTTATTTAAACCTTACCAGTGAATATTTACGTGCCTCACCAGGCCTGGTGAAGCACGTACAATACGGCCGAAATACTAACATTTGTTTAAAGCAACGACGTGCCCGGAAGGCAGAACACTCTCTTTACTGAGAACTTCTGATCTCTTCTACGGAAGTGGCCCAGGCTTCCCATAAATACTGGTTCTACCTCATTTACATAAAACGCGATACTAATCTCATTCTGGTAGGGGCTTGTAGGTGGGAAACAAGAGAATAAAGGAAAGCTGTTTAAATTTCACTGTATTAGTTATTCAGACACCTGCGAATTTTTTCCGTAAAAAAAAAAGGCGTGCAAGTAACCTAGTTGTACTTGTTAGTATACAGTGAAAATTTTACGAACTCGAATTATTGATGTGTTGGTATTATATAGAAATTTATAATGTATTTTGTAATTCATACCTCTAATATCCAGTAGTAAAACTGTTTTCATAATAAGCTTGTGTTTAAAAAGTTGTGTATATGTTTTCAAAAACATTTATTAATTAAATGTTTTATGCACAGGTTTAGAAATTAGTTAAAAATTTATAGTTACAAAACATTTTCTAAGTTAATGTTTTAAATGTTAAAATTTTCCCTTTTCTTTTAACTTTAGTGACATGGAGCAAAGGTACTATCTAGCTGCTGAAACGAGAAATAATTTAATAGCCGCCATTCAGAACCTTCAAGGAGCTCATGGGTTTCTACCGAACATTACATTTCCGTACTGCGCCGAAGATGAAGTTGATACTTTGAATAAGGTAAATCAGTGTACTCTGTTGTGATAAAGAAGGCCTCCGAGTAAGGCTTTGGTATGTTCTTCAATGCCCAAAAATGTTCCTTTTTGTTAAATAAAAAAGACGTCGTTTATCAGAGCCGACTCTAGGATTGCTGCCACATGCAATAACATATTTCGTCTCCCCTTTGCCATTGCTAAATTTACAATGTTGCCTTATTTGTTGTAGCATTGCTAGAGCATAACACAAGGACAACTTATTAAAGAAATAATAGGGGACTTTTCGATTACATAATTTTAAATAAAGATTTCGTATAATTATAACTTGAGCTATGATTTGGCCATCAGTTCTCAATTTTTGTGAAACGTCAGTTAAGTTTGATTAATGAGTATAATAAATTTTATACGCTATAACGGCTCATCCATTCTTAATGAATTCTTAGTTTTATTTTGCTTTATTCTGTGATGATTTATTAATGGAAAGTATAAACTGATATTAGAACTTTACTAGATACTATTACGCATTTCGTTCTTCCTGGCATTCTGTAAAATAAAAAAGAATACTTCAACATTTCTCTAGGAATATTTCACAGTTTAACTCAAATTAGTTGTGTATTCCAGTAATTGTCATTTTGCTGCTGCTGTGAAGCATTTCAAACAATATTCTGAATTATTTTCACGTAATTTCATGTAGTATTACTAGTATGGTATGATATGATAAGATATAAAACAGCGATTTTCGAACTCAAACATTAAAACCAAATGAGAGTTTACGCAATACTTAATGAGTTGTGTAGGAATATGCATTTATAACAGATTAAGAGATGTACCATTCAAAAGCCATTTTATGTACTCTTGATTATCAGTAAAGCTCATAGTGCTCATAGTGTTCGAAATCATTGTTGTGATATCGAACTGAAAATGAGTCTAATATGGAGTATGGTCTCCTCTCACAGCCAGACAGGTTGCACCATTGCAATGGTACCATTGCAGACAGGTTGCACCATTGCACCCAGACACCATTGCAGCGGTATACTAGACAGGAGGCAGCTGCAGCTCAGTAGTCCCTGTGGCTGTCGATCCCATTTCTGCAGCAAAGCAATTTTAAACTTCGCGAGGATTCTCAGAGGGGAATGGCGAGATGAAGGTGCTCTCAGAAGCGCGTCCTAGAACATGCTCTACAGGGTTAAAGTCAGGAAATCTGGTTACCCAATCCGTGCGGCGAATATCCTCAATTTCCAGATAATCGCTGATCCATTGAGCCTTAGGTGGACGAGCGTTGTCGTCCATTAACAGGAACTCAGAACCAACTGCGCCTTTGAATATTCGAACATAAGACTCTAAAACATCCTTTCTGTACATCATGGCAGTCAGGGAGCCGTTGTCAAATATATGCAGGATAGTGCGGCCGTTCAGTGTAATGTCTGCCCAAACTAATTACAGCTCCACCACCGTAATGATCCTTTTTCTACTATTTTCCTTTCATCAAATTATTGACGACTCTTTAGAGGCAAGAGTATGGCAGAGACAAATATTGCGATTTCACTCAGATCTTGATAGCTACCTCTTTTGCAGTGAATCTGATCGCTCATTTCCTTGATTTCCAGCATGTGCCTTTACTCAATGGAGGTGGAAGTTAAGGTGTCTTAAGTATCCTAAGTCCCTTTGGATATTACTGATGATATGAGAATAATGGAAGGGTCTAGGATGGCATGAAGCTTGAGACACGGTCGCTATACAAACTGGAGTCGTAGTGTCTATTGCTTATTGCATGAAAGTTATTGCCGTTGCTAGTGAGTGTGCTTCTACCTAGAAGATGTTATTCTTGGGTGAAAATGTGCTTTCCATGTGGAATACTTCTTTATTAGTGTACTGAACAAAGAAACAGTCAATTCCATCTTCTTGACCTGAACCGTTAGTATAGCACTGAAACTTTGAAGTGGAAGTGGTAGACTTTTGCTGCAGATGTGTACTTCTTTTAAAAATTTCTCTGGCAGATGGATGAATATGCAGCTTGTTGCTCAATGCTTCATACGCATGAGGGTGGAACCATGTATTGTGGAACTGCTTTTGTTTCCTAACTGGAGAACAGTCTGTAGTGTAGCTGTTATTTCTGTTTGTATATGCAGTGGTGTGAGTCCTGTCAGGATATTTGTTGCAGTTGTAGAACTTGTACAGTAGACACGTGTAATGTTGATGGCAAATAATCTCTGGATACTTGAAAGATGCTTTACCGTTCTACTTTACAATGATGTTCATACGCTTGCTTAGGTTATGATTTTTTCAGCAAATGTTGCTCAGATTATTTCTTATAATTGTAGAATTAAGCCTCATTTGGCACATTGTAATTTCAAAAGTTTGTACGCAGTTCTTAGCGACCGATTCTTGAGGTTCATTATGTGTGGTATCCAAGTAAATTCTGTATTCTGTATCTTATGCCAGTCCGAGGTATTTGAGTTTGCTAGTGATTTTAATTCTATGTCCCTTCATTTTTAATTTGGGCTTACTTGCGAGTTTGGGGCCTTTTTTCGGGATTATGAATGTCTTGGACTTTTTCGGGTAGATTCTTGACTTATTAAACTAATTAGACTGATTGATTGATTAGACTGATGCTTGATTTGGTTGCAACGATCATAGAAGAGTTTGCTTGTTTCGTTGCAGTGTCGTTTAACTTCGTCTCTTGTCCTCACTATTATTATGAAAGCTCTATCATCAGCGTAAGCAATAACTGGGGTGTCACTATGTCCTTCTGCATTAATGTTGTTAATGAAAAATCAGGTTGCACAATTTAGGTCCAGCACATGAACCTTGTGGTCAAAACTCTATCCTGTATTCTACTGATGAGGTCTGTGTCATTCATTATAAGGTGCTGTCTATTGTTCAAGTATTTTTTAAAAAAGAAATAGATGTTGCTGTGGCATTAGTGCCTCGCAGGGCGTACCCCCAGAATCGCAGACCACCGAAAGGTGTCGAATGTGCTTCAGATGTCGAGACTTAGGTACTGTATGATATCCGTTTAGCTTGTTGGTCAAAATACTGTCTTTTAGATCCATGAGAGTATGCGTTGATAATTTTCCAGCTCAAAAGCAATACTGTCTACCTCTTAATTATTGAGATTTGAGTTTAGATGGTGAGATAAGTATCTACTAATTTTTCATACACTTTTACTACCGTAGAAAGACAGACGGGGCGGTAGTAATCGGGACTCTGTGGATCTTTATTGTTTTTCAGAAAAAATACCAACTTGTCCTATTTTGAAACTACTAGGGAAGATTTTATAATGCGGTAGCTTGTGGAATGATTTCAGAAAGTGTTCTGATAGATCTTTTTAATTATGACCTTGTCGGTCCCCTCTGGATCATGAGTATTTTCTTAACATTTGTTGGAAGGCATGATGAATTTCTTCTGCTGTTTAAAGCGGGTCATTAAACGTTGTTGCTTGGATGGTGTCTATTCACATGGAATGCTGCAATGATGTGTCCAGGTTGGAATTGTCATTTGGAAATATTTTATCCAGTATTGTAATAAGTGTGTGTTCTGGGCCACTGTTGGCGGTTTGTCCAGGTTGTAAGAAGTATCATGGTTTACATGCTTTGTTGTCGTTATTTTGTGCAAAATATGTGCTTCTGCAGTATGGGTAAAAAAGCTATCATGGATAAGTTTATAAATAGCTCTTTCTTTCCTTAATTTCCATGGAAGGAGTTGATGTATAGCATCCTGTGTCGCACCTTTTAGTTTCCGTCTTATGGGCTTGCATTTGCGTTGCTGCGTTTGGGATCGTTGTTTTACCAGACTAACGTAGTGAGTGGTTTAGACTATCTCTGCGGGAGGATGTTATCGCATATGATGCGTATTTTGATGAGAAGAGATGTTGTATATGAATCCAGGGCTTTCACTGTAATTTGCTGCTTTGGGCGTATTTCTCATTGGCAGAGCAGTTTTGGGGATGTTCATTGGAGAGTTTTGACTTGGGATTGCTTTTGATTTAGTTTTGGGAAGTTTAAATTGATGTAGTGGATGCGTTTGAAATGCTGTAGGTAATGTATTTATGATTAGATGGCTCCTATCTTCCGTGTCTGTCATGACTTTCCAGTGTTGCATGATGTCATTGGCATACAAGGCTGTTAATGTCAGATCTGACCAACTCTTGCTATTTACTGTTTCATTGGAGGTGCATCTTCTGTGTCTTGTATGACCAGATCATAGGCATAGATGTAATTTTCAAGCTCTTGTCCTTTTACAGAAGTGTAGGCGTAGCCCCACGTAGTGCTTAATGTATTATAATCTCCTGGAAATAGCTTGAGAGGAGTTGGTATACTTCGTACATCTTCTACTTGTGCCACGGTATTCTTTGTGTCTATGGTAGGAGGGGACTAGGTGGAGATTATACCAATATGCAGAATTTGTAATTTCAGTAGAATTTCGACCAGTTTCGTGAGGTTTTGATGGCGAGAGGAGTCCATTGTGTATTGCAAGAGATTAGGGCTTCTCTTGGTGTTTCGGTTGATGAGTCTATAATGTTCTATCTAAATTTGTATTCCTTGGCAGCTAGAATCAGCTAGAATACTTATGTAGAGAATTATCTCTGAGTTTACGTGCAAAAGGCAAGTCGGAAGAAAGGTTAAATTACCCTTTTATTCAACTCAATATGATTCACAGATGACACCTCTTCGGCTTACAGGAAGCCTCCAATTGGGCTTAAAGTTACAAAATAAGAAGCTAATCTAATGTTAACTAAACCAAAACCAGCCGAAGCTGCATAGTAATAGCTAACAGATTTGACCCTTATTTAAAGCTCACCGGCGAATACTAGCAGGCACGTAACAAGACGACCGAACGTAGTAAACTTAGGCTTAAATCAACCAACGACGTGGCCAGAGGGCAGAATACGTTCTACTAAGAACTTTTAAGCTTTTCTACTTAAGTGACCGAGACTTCAACTTAAATACTGGTTTCTACTTCATTTACTTAAAAAGCGATCCTAAAACCTCATTCTGGGAGGTTCATTTGAATGCATCAAATATT